AGGCGGCAGGCCATCAGAGCTTGTAGGTGATGGCAGCATGAGGTTGCTAGCTTTCTTGCAGAGATCACTTGCAGCGTCGCCAAACTTGTTAGTGCTGAGGATGCTTGACCACCCGTCTGCATCCAGGCCTGAAGGGCCTGCACCTCCCTGTGTTTTTCAGTGTTTTTTTCTCTATACCATCCCCCCCTGTTTTTTCTCGAACATGACAGCTGGGGGATGTTTTTCCTTCAGTTGTTGCAGCGTCTACTACGACTACTATTATTACTACTACTGTCCATCCCAAGTACGACCATAACTGAAAGTTCGTTCTCATTTACTCGTCTTATCTTTTAACAGAACAATTATGTAAATCCAAAAATTATGAGAAATGTCAATCTCCCTCCTTCATAACGTATCCGGAATTGTGTTTATCTGTGGCTAATTATTACTCCCCATCAATTATCCACTATCATCTACCTTTAAACCTGGTCCTTGAATCCTTATTCCTATGTCATATAATCAATCCCAAGCAGTTCCGCTCATCCATCTTCAAATATCTTCAGCCTTTGACAAGGAGGCAACCTCTCGGTGAATAGATCTAACATTGAGACTTGTCTGATCTCTCCCATAATACCATCTGTGAGGGAATTACTACACCACGTCAGGCCCCTCATAACGCCATCCGTGGGGGAGTTACTACACTACGTGTCTGCTGTTCAACACCTTAGCTCACATGATCTACGTGTGTAAACATTAATCCGTATGTTCACTGTATGTTCCTTCACCTTTCTCTAATGAAAGCTTTTGTTAAACCACCAATGTATGTAATAAGTCATTTATGTCCAATGTATATTTTCAACCTTCGGGCTGCAGAACTTTTTCAATAAACTGTTAATTATTATTATTATTATTATTATTATTATTATTACACACACACACACACACACACAATAAAACCTTGAAAACGAAGATTATTGCCTAATTCATGGATACAAGATGGGAGCACACACACACACACACACACACACACACACACACACACGTGAACTCCGTGTTGGCCGCTAGACCTCGAGCTGCGTGGGGCAAATCTGGAATTTGAATCTGAGCACACACCTGTACACACGGAGCTACAGACAAAAAGAGAAAACTAGAATATACCAACACACTACGTACAATGCATAAGTTAATTTATTAATTTCTGTTCACGTGAAAAGGAGAAATCATAAAACACGATGGTGACACGTGGTTCATTCAGCGCCTTGGCATATAACTTGTCCATGACCTTGGTCTTGTTTTGGTGCTGGAACCCCACCTCCACACTCCCCCTCATGCACAACCTCCCTCCCACACAGTCTCCTATCCTACACACCCACCCCTCTCACACACACCCTCCCCTTCCTCACATCCTCCTCTCTCATACACCACCCCCCTCCCAAACACACAGTCCTCGTCCTGACATCCTCGTCCCCCCCCACTCCCTGCCCTACATAGGGCAAACAATAAAGCACACAAAAAAGCCCAACTAATAGGCCCAGACTTCCCCACGTTCTACAGTTGGAACTCAGCCACTACTCCAGATATAGCAATAACAAACGGCAGATGCTTCCACAACTATCTCTTTGAACAAGGCCCTGTAACCTCCAGCGACCACCTACCTATAATCATGACCATCTCAGCAACACCAATAACTATACCAGCTCCACCACGGAGAATCGCCAAGCAGACCGACTGGGACTTATTCAACGAAAAAGCTACAGCCAAACTTGAGGCCAAGGACATGACAATCCTGCAGACCATAGACAACCAGCCGGTGAACATAATAGACGAAGAAATCAACACATGGTGTGAAGCCATAGGAACAGCCTACCAGGAGGCCACGCCTCTCAAACGCAACAGAACTCTCCCGCACCCACGACAGACTCCAGAACTCATAGCCCTCACAAACCAGTTCCAACTGCTACAACAGAGAGCCGAGACCCATGGTTGGGACATCGTAAGCTACAATACATACAGAAGAGTCCGGGAGGAAATAAAAACAAGATCTCTGGAACAAAGCAACCTTAAATGGGCCGAAATAGTTGAACAATTCTCACATACATACAACGATCCAGGAGAGTTCTGGCGTCGAGTTAAGAGATTGAAAGGTTGCAGCCATAACGAGTCATCATATATAACTGACCACGCAGGAAGTAAAATATATGACGACCAAGACAAAGAACCCATATTCAGGGACATATGGAGGAACATCTTCCGAATCACAAATGAAGAGAATAGGGGATTCGATGGTACCCACGAGGAGCTCGTCCTTGATGAACTCCGGGGCCAGACACACCGCACTCAGCCTTCCCCTGAAATCATATGGGAGGATCTGAGAGCGGACAGCCCATTGTCCAAACCAACTACCTCGGAAGAACTCAACAGAGCCATCTCCAATACCAAAAATAAAGCCCCTGGTTATTCAGGCATCACCAAAGAGATCCTCAGCCACACAGACAACCCGGCCATGGAGAGACTGAGAACCACAATGAACGCTTGCCTGGCCTCGGGCTACTTCCCAACTAAATTCAAAGAGGCCATTATTACCCTAACACCAAAACAAGGAAAGAACCCCGCCGTTCCACTAAACTACAGACCGATCTCCCTCCTCGAAGTACCTGGAAAAATCCTAGAAAAATCATCAATAACCGTCTGAGAAATCACCTGGAAACAACAAACAGAGTCAACTGCAGACAATTCGGGTTCAGGAAAGGGAAGTCCACCACAACAGCGATAGCCCTGGCATGTGAAAACATAGCCAGAGCCGCGGCGAGTGGTAGACAATGTAATCTAACTCTCCGGGATGTCGCTAAGGCATTTGACAAAGTCTGGCACGACGGTCTAAAATATAAGACCCTCCAACTCGGACTTCCCACCAACATTGAAAAGTTGCTTTGCAACTTTCTTGACGGCAGAAATGCCAGACTGAGGGTAGGACAACACACAGGAGAGACCTTCCCACTCATGAGTGGAGTCCCTCAGGGAAGCGTCCTCTCCCCCACCCTATATATTATCTACACAAGTGACACCCCGCCTCCCACTAGAATAGGTAACGAAGATATTATGTATGCAGACGACATCACTCAAATAACAACACATCAAGGAAAATCGCGAGCGTTACAGGCCGAAAACACCAGGCGGGAATTAGAAAGGGTAAATAACTACGAAAAACAATGGAAAATCCAAACCAGTTTCCCGAAATTCACAGTGATACCCTTATGCAGAAGGAAAACCCATCCATTAGTAACCAATAATGCCCAGATAGAATACAAAAGCAGAGGCACCCTCCTGGGCCTACATATATCCACGACAGGTTACTCCCATCATGTCCACAGCAGGAAGGAAAAAGCAAGAAGAGAGCTGAGAAAACTATACCGCTTTAAAGCGCTTCCTGAGAAAATTAAAACTCCGCCTGGTGACATCATTTATCACACCGATATTAACTTACCCAGCAATACCTCTTCATACTATGAGCACCACTCAAATATTAAAATTACAGGTGGTCCAAAATGAAGTCCTAAGATTCGTCACAGGTGAAAGATACCCCTTCACCAGAACCACAGCCGAGATACATAGAGACCTGAGAATGAAACCCATCAACCAGCAGCTGCACACCCTGGCCAGCAGAATCTGGCAAAAGATAGAACGATCAGAGCAAGAACTCCTTCAAAGACTCCCACCAGATAACGACAACAACCATACATGGTTCCCAAAATGCTACGAAATCTCAAAAGGTCCATTACCACCCCCGATCTACACGGCCAGGCAATAGACAACCTCCCTAGACCAGCATCCGCCAGTAGGGTCGGTGGAATATGAAATAAGGCCCTTAAAACACCCATAAATGGGACAGGGTAGGCTGTCTAGTGCCTGTACCGGCAGACAATAACTAACCCATGACACAACCCTAACACACTATTAGCTTAGCTAGGCGGTCAGCCCGCCCTCTCTTACCTCCTCCTGAATTTCTTCAATTTCCGAACTATAACTTCCTTCCCCCACCTCTAATCTTCCTTCATTCCTCCTCTAAAAAAAAAAAAAAAAAGCACACATGTTTTCCAGGTTATTGGTTGCTGTGTTTGTTATAGTATTATTACTGCGCTTCAACTAATGTCTTTAATTAAGCGCGTAACAAGGTTGGTAATTACACTATTACATAAACTTTTAAATATTACGAGAGATAAAACTCTTTGTGTAAGGAATCAGTTTCTAGAAAGAAACACAATTATTCTGAGCAGTGTGTTTGAGAAGGAGCTGTGTTATACAGTAGTTGTTAACTGAACTACAGCACACTCGTAAATTCAATTCTCACATCAAGATAATTGGGGTTACTGGTGGTAGAGTGGTACCGCTCTTGCCTTCGCAAGCGAGATGTCACGGGTTCGATTCCCGGGCCGGTGGAAGTTGTTTGGACATACTTCCTAGCCCCCATTAGTCCCTGTTCACCTAGCAGTAAAGTAGGTACCTGTTGTAAATCGAAAGTTGCGAATTCGTATTCAGGGACAAGTTGTTAGAGCTTCCAATAACTTGATGATATAAACCATTGACTCTTCAGGCTTCTATGCCCTTGACGCTTCAGGTTTCTACGCCCTTAACTCATGAGACATAAAGGCAAGCATGAACTTAGCAAGCTTCCCTGTTGGGCACTGTAAACGCTTCTGCGCTTCACCTTACAAAAGGATGTAGGGGAGTGCCCAATTAAAAAAAAAATAAAGATAATTAATTATTAAAATCTTTAATATTTATTGTCTATTAGTACTGAAATCTACTGCAAGTATACAGTACATGCCAACAACCTGACTAAGCTTTAATTTTTCGGGTTGCATCTTGTGTACCCGAATCATAAGTCATAAATATATTTCTGGAAATGAAAGTACACGAACAGGAGAAAGCGGTTAAATATAAAGCATCGATAGCATGTTAGAAAAGGATATCAATGTTACATTTTGGTGACACGTCTTAGTAAACACAAGGTGGCAACTAACCTGGCCGCCGCCACCAATGACTGGCCGGGGTGTGTTGGTGGCTGTGTAGTCATGCCTGTTTATTCTAAGCGTTGACTGCTCTCCTCACTCCTTTAGTTGTGTTTTAAAATACCTGCTAAGTTGCACTGCATGTCATAGCTGTGTTAACCTCACAACACATGTAAGGAGCTCACCCTTACTTAACAGTGTTCCTGTTGCCAGAGTACTGCGTACGAGACCCAACTAACAGCTCTTACTAGTCTTGACTGGCAACATTTAGCTTGACGCTTTCTCCTCTCGTCCTCCTCCGTGGTCTGGCCGTCTGACCGCTTGGCTAGTCTCACGCCAGCTTTACACGCTGCCCGGACTAGATTAGACACCTTTTGTTTTTCACAGTTGCCAGGTCTCTCATAATAAGTTTTAGATACACGTAAGATTTTCGGGAGGGGGGGGGGGCGGGTGAGTGGCAGGATTGTGGTGGTGACGCGCTTGTGTGTGCCAACGTGTGTGTGTGTATCTGAAAAATGGGAGATGAAATTCACTGTGGATAAATGTAAAGTACTTAGTTTAAGAGATGTAAACAGAGAAACCATATACCAGATGAACAATGATGTTATAGAGAAATCCGAATGTGAGAAAGATTTAATGATAAGAAAGGAATCTTAAGCCAAGTAAACAATGTGTATTTTTGCTCGAAACAAGGCTAATAAAGTACTTGGGTTCATACAAAGGGGTGTTAGTTACAAGACAAGCGAGGTCATCCTAAACCTACAGTATATCTTTCGCTCGTGAGACCCCACTTGGATTACGCAGTTCAATTCTGGTCACCGTATTACAGAATGGATGTAGAATCCCTAGAAAGAATTCAAAGGAGAATGACACGACTAATCCCGGGCATTAGGAACCTTGAGTACAGAGACAGGTTAAAGCATCTTAATTTGCACTCCCTTGAGTACAGAGACAGGTTAAAGCATCTTAATTTGCACTCCCTCGAGAGACGTAGAGCGAGGGGCGACATGATAGAGGTGTATAAATGGAAGTCAGGGCTAAACAAAGGGGACATTACCAAGGTACTCAAACTATCCAACTAGGAGCGAACTCGTAACAATGATTTTAAATTAGACAAATTTAGATTTAGGCTCGAAATTGGCAAACACTGGTTTGGAAACAGAGTAGTGGATGAATGGAACAAGTTACCAAATATCATCAATAACTCGAATACACTGGATAGCTTCAAACATAGGTTGGATGCTTATATGCGCAATAGGGGTTGGGTGTAAATGGGACTGCCCAGTATGGGCCAATAGGCCAGCTGCAGTTTCAAGCCATGAGCATCATTCCAGGATGCCCAAAATCAACCAGAATTGTAAACATGAGGAAAGAGCTCGGACTGCCCCCCCCCCCATCAATCTGAGAGGATAGCTCTACTTAATACCATGTTTTGTGTCAAAGTTTTGAAGAACAATGGTCCCCAAACTACAGCTCAAACTGAGTTGATGTTCTATCTAAGTAATCCCGACCATCTCGCTAACCTTCCACAAAAGACTCTTTGGGGCGTGGCTTCATAAAAGTGTTGCAGATCTCTTGAAACTGAATGTCCCAATCACCCCAGACGAACCCATTAATGCCATTCCTCCTTGGATGGATATATCAGTTCCTATTAATTACACTCCTGTTGGTAGTAAGCAAATGTTAAACACGGATGTGATATGTGTCACTAGAAATTATTAACAGACACATAGAGAGTATTAAATCAGTGAATGTTATGCTTTTACTGGTGGTCCTGTGCAGACAAACACAGGTAGCACAGGCTGTGCAATTGTAATATATAAAGAAAAAGAGATGATAGTGTCAAACAAGCAAATGATGAATAACAGGAATCTACTTAGCTACAGACTACCTTAAAGAAAATGGAGGTGGAGTGATATTCTGTGACTCTCAAAGTGCTTTGAAATCAATGAACAGCCCGTCAGGCTCTATGTCTAAAGTTATCTGTGATATTAAAAGAAATGTGATAACTGCCAATGAGAACAACTGTCGTATCGAATTTGTGTGGATTTCGTCCCATGTTGGAATTAGGTATCATGATCGTTGATAGACTGGCCAATGAGGCATGTAAGAAAGAAAATGTTGACCGTGACCTTGGCCTGTCCAATGCTGTACTTAAAAACATTCAAGTCAGAATCATGAACTCTCATCTAGAAGAACTGAGAAATGCAGAGAGACCTGACAGTTGTAGCATTATTAAATATGAAAAATTTTGTGACGAGAGATACCGGTATGGCCAGCATAAGGACAGAACCAGACAATGTGATGTAGACGTGGCCAGAATTAGGCTAGGATACAGACACATCTGGCAAGTTAGTAACGCTGTACCCATACCGGAACACTCAACATGTAAACTTTGTGATAAACCTTTAAAGCATACACTTGAACACTATATTATTGAATGTGACACTGTCAGACTTCAGGCCACCTGGCTTATTGTATCATGAACTTTGAAATTACTATATTGAATCGGGGGTGCTTGGGGACATTCTTGCTGTTTATCCCAAATTTGCTAGCCCACACTGTCTAGTCTTCAATTAGAATATGACGTACAATGTATATGAACCACTGTCTTGCATGGCAACGAACAGTGACATCACCTGCATGACTCTGACCTATATTGCTTCGCAAGTAATATATGCCCAGACATATATTATTTCACAAGTAATATATGTCTGGGCATATATTACTTCGCAAGTAATATATGCCCAGACATAAGCTGTTGGAATAACTGTGTGTGTCGTCATCTGCTGTGCCCTCTTTGTTAACAAATCTATCAATCACTTGCTTGACAATAACTACTTCCAGTTCCGGAATAATCAGAGATACAACTTAAGGCACCCAGAGCTACTAAGACCACCCCCCATGCGCTCCTCTCAGTCCCAGACCTCCATAAAATATCACGGTGTGAAGGTGTGGAACAACTTACCCCCACCCATCCGAGCAAAGACTACGCTCCCATCCTTTAAATCATCTCTAAAAAAATATTTATTGTCGAAGTATTAATACTTCTTGTAACACTTGCAGTACCTGCTTTTATTGTACCATGAAACTGCTTTATCGGAAATTATCATGTAAATAAATAAGTAATTACCATTGCAATAAACATAACTGCCAACGAGACATAATCCTGAAAGCTGTTCTCTTGTTCAACCTTATTACTGTACAACCCAGGTTGTACTGTTCCACCATTATACTTATGTTTTTAAATTCCACTCTATTTTAAATGTATATGTATGTATGTATGTATGTATGTATGTATGTATGTATGTATGTATGTATGTATGTATATATATATATATATATATATATATATATATATATATATATATATATATATATATATATATATATATATATATATATATATATGTATATGTATGTGTATATGTATGTATAAATAAATAAAAATAAATAAAAAATAATTAATAAATAATAAAATAAACAAATATTGAAGTGATAACCGTGGTAACACTATGAGATGTACTTATTACCACCATGCTATTGTACTATTCCAGATGATACTAAATGTTACATAATACTTCCTTGAGATAAATGTATAGTATATATCAGTTGCCTCAAAGAGAGCTCAGGTTCTCAACTGGCTCAGCCATGTAAATATTGTTATTATTATCCATTCTGTATCTGTGTTTTCTGGCTAAATAAACTGTTTCATTTCAATTCAATGCTGAACTTTGTTCACTATAAGATGGTCGGTGGTGATACACATGTGTGATCAAGGCACAAAACGTTTACTGTATTTATATGTAAACATCGCGTCTGTTTGGCTGTCAGGTTAAATCCAACTACCACCTGCTCAGAGTGTTATATCGTGCACCGTGTGATGGTAAAGGTGAGCACTGCAGTACACCGGAAGAGGAACTTTTACGGTATGTCTATAGATGCGTATATAACAGCCATGGTGGCTTGGGTGTCCAGGGGGATGTAGGTATAGATGTCCAACAGTAGGGGTCCAGATATCTGTCAGAATTATTTATAATACCAGTTAAGCAGATTGAGGGGCCCGCCTTATAACTCGTCCATCACTAGTTTCTCTATCACAGTCCAAATTCACAAATATTCATAGGACCACGTTAGTTTTCTCTCCACATTTGGGAGATAAGAAAGCCAAGATAGTAAAGTCTCATTTATTTTCGTCGCCATTTTTATTCACGGGTTTGAGTGAAAATTTTCTGACATTTCCATCTAGGGCGAAAATTTAATACCTTTAATGACACTAAACCCAGAATGTTACGCTCAGTCAGAAAACCCTCACCTCAACAGACACCGTTTTTGTGTTGTTGGTAAATATGACATTTTGAAATTATCTTTATACCAATTTTTCATCGAAATTTATAAAATAAAATATATATATTTGGTTCACTAAATTTTATACATTTACGAAAACCTGTAAACCTGTCCGTAAATACATATAATACAAAATAACGTTACTAATACACATTTTCTCTACGGGGTAAGTTACTAGTGAAGAGCCCCCCCCCCCCCCGAAAAAAATCATAGAACTACTTAAGATTTGAGCAATAATTTACCTGAAACACTTTATAGGTAATCTCGCGACCATTAGAGATATATTTTTCATCTTTTCGTAATTCTGGCAGGTATGAGAGCAACCAGGTAGTGTACGAAACAACTATCAGAATCATGTGTTTTTTTTATAACTTAAATTGACTGCTATTTTAATATTTATAATTTTGTATAAATATTTTGTTGCTGTTGTAAATTTTGTATGTTGTGTTTTTACTACTACTACTACTACTACTACTACTACTAATAATAATAATAATAATAACAATGATAATGATAACGATGGAGATTAAAAACATTAGCTGGCATGTTATTGTTGGTTGTTACGTCGTAATAACATTAATCAGCCAACAGGTGATTATCACAAGCAGGTGTTCCTCTGATTGGTCAACTGTGGATGTTATCAACTGATGGAAAGTTGTCATCTGTAATCGTAGAAGAGAGTCAACATCAGACTGTGATATACAATAATATACAATAATATACTATAATATATTACGATATTATACATAACGATATATAACAATCTGCTGTAATATACATTATTTATCACGAGTAATGTTTTAAGTTCAGTTGCCAAGTCCAGTCGAAGCTTAGTCGAATTTTCGTTACTTTACTCGACCTCCCACTGTTTTCATCACTTACTCGACCTTCCACTGACTACATCACTTACTCGACCTCCCGCTGACTTCATCACTTACTCGACCTCCCACTGACTTCATCACTTACTCGACCTCCC